AGAAAAATGACCGCTTGTGTTCTATAGAGTATCATGTGTAGATAAAGAATTATAAAGAAATCTGTAAGTACCAGAAGACAGCAACAGAGTTCTCTATAGTGAGATATTATGTATATATAAAAACATCTATAAATATACACTATATTGCCAAAAGTATTGGGCCCTCCCCCTCCAAATCATTGGATTCAAGTGTCCCAATCACCTCCATGGCCCCCGGTGTATAGGATGAGGCACCTCGGCATGCAGACACTTCTACAAACATGTGTGGAAGAACGGGTCGCTCTCAGACGCGAGCCGATTGGCTGAAGTTGAAATTGTTCATCTCGGCACGCTCAGCTCTGCGAGCTCTCGCAAGCCGAGGTGCCGAGAAGAAAGTGACATGACACACTGCTCGCAAAGGCAGCGCGCCACCGTTCCGCGCTGCTTCGCGTGCAGTGTGTCACGGCCTTTAGACTGGGATGCCATTAAAGTTCATGTGCGTGTAAAGGCGTCCCAATACTTTTGGCAATATAATGTATATATATGTATATAAAAGATGTCTGTGAAGGTTCTCATTCCTCCAGGTCACATGGTACATCTGTAAAAAAAATAAGTCCAGGCGGCTGGACTCGCTGTATCTTTCTTGAAGACGTTTCATTGGACGTCCGACCAGCTTCCTTCATTCAGAGATTCTATGGAATCTAAGAAGATACATCTGCGGAATGATTACAGGACCAGGGACCGGTGGGGGGCCCGGGGCGGGGGGGGGATGCTGAAGAAGAGTTCGCGGGGTTATAACGTGTTCCTGATAAAATGCTAACACATCACTGTGCCTTCTATAAGTGGAGCAGAGCAATGCGGCGCGGGATGTCATGATGTGCCTTCCTAACAAGGTATGGAATGTCACGGAATCTCCTGGAAGAATCTACGAGGCTCAGCCCTGTCATGTAACCCACATTGGAAGATGAGCTCCAGGCAGATTCATAAAAAAGAAACCATTAACGCAGCCCAGTATTCATTACTACATCACTGAAGGCAAATTTTTAGGACCTCCCCCCTCCCCTCCCAGCCAGGTAATAAAATAAAAAAAGCAGCCCAGGCTACAGTACTCGGACTCATCATGGAGGTGTGCCCTGCAGTACTCCTGTTGTGCCACTAGTTGACCACGTTGCTTTGTGCTGAATGACGCCCAGCATGCTGCTATGAATGAAGGGCGGCAAGGCCCCGCCCACTGAGAGGTCATCACACGGCTCGGCATTCATCATAGTGTATCTATGCAGAGGAGGGAGCTGATGTCATAACATCCCTGCGGGGGGGGCCGCCCATTGCAGGAGAAGATGGTATGAAGAGGAGCTTGCGGTCCAGCCAAAATGAGGACCTACGGGTCGTGTGACCAGCCAAAATGAGGACACACGGGTCGTGTGACCAGTCAAAATGAGGACCTACGGGTCGTGCGACCAGCCAAAATGAGGACCTACGGGTCGTGCGACCAGCCAAAATGAGGACCTACGGGTCGTGTGACCAGCCAAAATGTGGACCTACGGGTCGTGCGACCAGCCAAAATGAGGACCTACGGGTCGTGCGACCAGCCAAAATGGGGACCTACGGGTCGTGTGACCAGCCAAAATGAGGACCTACGGTTCGTGTGACCAGTCAAAATGAGGACCTACGGGTCGTGTGACCAGCCAAAATGAGGACCTACGGGTCGTGTGACCAGCCAAAATGAGGACCTACGGGTCGTGTGACCAGCCAAAATGAGGACCTACGGGTCGTGTGGCCAGCCAAAATGAGGACCTAAGGGTCGTGTGGCCAGCCAAAATGAGGACCTACGGGTCGTGTGACCAGCCAATACATCAGAGTTATGTATACTACAGAAAGGCATATCATGGAGCAAAAAAAATGGGCTTTATTCTGTTTTCATCTGAGTAAGTGCCTGACCCGATGTCAGCTTCCTATACAGCAGGGCTCAGAGTGGAGGAGCAAGAAGCAGCACAAGGAGCCAGTCAGTTGATTAGCTAACATGGAGCATGCTGAGAGGAGGAGACTGCAGAGTGACAATGAAATAAACTAGCCCCTGTGCTGCTTCTCCGGAGAGCTGGGGGCGGGTCCGTGACAGCCGGGGCTCAGGAAGTGGCTTGATCGTCACCGAGACAGAAAGAGATGGGCAACCCAATATTTCCCGGCGGCCACCAGAACAAGAGGCAAGAGGAAATCCCTCAATGGGGACAGCTGTTCCAGTGGCAACCAAGGAGAGATTTCACCTCCCTTCCTGTTGTGTCAGCAAGACAGGAAGTGAAGATAAATCCCTGAAGTGAGGTAGATACAATCGGGATAAACACTTTCTGAGCTCTTACCCTTCTGGTCTGGGGGAAGCTGTTCCGGAACGTGGCCGAACCCGAGAACTCCGAGGCCAGCGCGTGCCGCGATTGGGCCCGGAAACTGAGGACGCTGCTCTCCACTTCGGCAAACGCCCTGCGGCTGCGGCCCAGGCTGGTGCGATGGCGCTCCACGCGGTCCTGCGCAATGACGTAAGACAGGGACGCGCCAAATACTCCGTGTGGGGAATCTGTGGAGGAGGGAAGAATGAAGAAGTGCACGTCAACCCGAAAAATCCCTCCTTGCCTCCCATTCGCTCCCTTCTCTTATATCTGTTGATCCTGCCAGAAATGTTGTAAGCTTGTCGGACCTCTGCAGAGAGACCGCTGCTTCCAAACAGAGATCAAGGGTCCTCGTCCACGGGAGGTCCGACAAAGCGAATGCTTCCTGCTGATCAGAGAGCACCAGTGCTGGACCTCTGCAGAGAGACCGCTGCTTCCTCAGGAAGAGCAAGGATCCTTTCTACAGGAGGTCCGACAAAGCGAATGCTTCCCGCTGATCAGAGAGAACCAGCTGATTCAGCAGTGTTGAATCTCTGCAGAGAGACCCCTGCTTCCATACAGAGAACAAAGGGTCCTTCTCTTCAGCAGGCAGGCAGGGGACGGGCTTTTCTGCAGAGGTCCGACAAAGCTAGCGCTTCCTGCTGACTAGAAAGCTCTAGCGGTGGACCTCTGCAGAGAGACTGCTGCTTCCATGCGGAGAGCACAGGATCCTTGTCTGCAGCAATGCTTGCAGGAGGTCTGAAAAAAAACAAAACCGAATGCTTCCTGCAACTGATTCAGCCGAGGCGGACCTCTGCGTAGACACCACTGCTTCCTCAGAAAGAGCAAGTGGTCTCTCTACAGAGGCGCGGCAAAGGTCATGCTTAGCATCCCCCACGCTGAGGCCACTGCTGGCAGGAAGTGGTCAAGAGGAGGCGTAAAATGATATATTTTGGAAGAATCTGCTTATCTGTATTCAGTGTTTATAATGAAGGGTCACAGGGGGAGGAGGGTCACGGGAGGGGGGTGGAAGCACAGGTGAGCGGTACGGGAGGGCAGCACAGGTGAGCGGTAGAGGAGGGCAGCACAGGTGAGCGGTAGGGGAGGGCAGCACAGGTGAGCGGTACAGGAGGGCAGCACAGGTGAGCGGTACAGGTGAGCAGTTTTTCCATGCTTGTCTGCAATAAGCTGCCAGAGCCTAACACTGCACCAGGCCGGGGCCAGGCAAAGCAGTCAGGGGGTGCAGAGGCTCCATGACAGAACTACAAACCCCATCCCGGAAATGAGCTACAAAGCGGGTCCCATAGATACCTCTCCGGTCTTGCCGGCGTTTCTCCATTTTCCTGGCATTCTGCCAACCTGCAACAACAAACAACGTCCCAGCGTCACTGACCAATCACAGAGCAGCAGGGGGAAGCAAGACGATTCGACGTCTCCGATGGACGGGAGAAGAATCCAGAGGGAATCCCAGAAATAAACAAATCATTTCCTGTCAGTCTGGGAAAGTGTCCTCTCCCTACAGCGGGTCATTCCCCGTGTCACCGCGAGACCCGGGATGAGGCACGTCAGTCCCTACAGAGGGATCAGCTCCACCACATTCACATATATTATTATATTTAAAGGTTTGATGAAGAAGTGACAGCTGGCACAGTCGGCATTGTTTACATCATATTATATAACTTCACCAAGTATATCACCTGAGAAGCCAATGTATTCAGCTGTGGCCAAGACAATGAGGACCTCCCTCCAAATCATGGAGGTCAGGTGTCTCCAATGGAGGTTCTGATGATCCTCCATCATACAAAGACATTGTAGACAACCGGGCTCTTCCAGCCTTGTGGTAACAGTTTGGTGAAGACCCTTTTCTGTTCCACCGTGACTGTCCCCCGTGTACAAAGCCAGCTCCATAAAGACTTGGGTTGACCAGCTTGTGAAGGCCACTCAAGTTCCTCCACACCAGAGTCCTGACCCCAACCCTATGGAACATAGGAACACCTTATCTCGTTCCCCCATGACTGTCCGTGTGACAAAGCCAGCTCTATAATGGTTTGACCAGTATGTGAAGGCCACTTGGGTTCCTCCACGCCAGAACCCTGACCTCAACCCTATGGAACCAAGAAACACCTTATGGAACATAAATGTTCCATAGGAGACATTGAGTTCAGGTCCACAAAGTCAGCGCCATAAGGACATGGTGTGACCAGTTTGGTGAAGACCCTTTTCTGTTCCACCATGACTGTCCCGGTGTCCCCTGTGTACAAAGTCAGCTCCATAATGGTTTGACCAGCTTGTGGAGGCCACTTGGGTTCCTCCACACCAGAGTCCTTACCCCAACCCTATGGAACATAGGAGGACCTTATAGAATATAGATGTTCCATAGGAGATATTGAGCTCAGGGGTCAAAGTCAGCTCCACAAAGACATGGTGGGACCAGCTTCTGAAGGGCACTCTAGTTCCTCCACACCAGAGCCCTGACCCCTATGGAACCAAGAAAGACCTTATGGAACCATAGATGTTCCATAGGAGTATTGAGTTCAGGTCCACAAAGCCATCTCCATAAAGACATGGTGTGACCAGTTTGGTGGAGGAACTCGAGTGTCCTGCAAAGAGCCCTGACCTCAACCCTACTGAACATGACAGTCCCCTGTGTACAAAGCCAGTTCCATGAAGACATGTTGTGACCAGATTGGTGAAGGCCACTCAGGTTCCTCCACACCAGAGCCCTGACCCCAACCCTGTAGAACACAGGAACACCTTAAAGAACATTGATGTTCCATAGAAGATATTGAGCTCAGGGGTCAAAGCCAGCTCCATAGAGACATGGTGTGACCAGTTTAGGGTGGAGGAACTCGAGTGTCCTGCACAGAGTCCTGACCTCAACCCTACTGAACACAGATGGTGAGCCGGATTTTCTCATCCAATCAGTACCTGATCTCAATTAGACGAATTCCCACAGACACCCCAAAACCAGGTGGAAGTCTTCCCGGAAGATTGGAGGATGTTATATCCACAACGGGAGCCCAACTTCATATCAATGGCCAGGGATTTGGGGGCAACTCCATATCAATGGCCCAGGATATGGGGGCAACAGCATATCAATGGCCCGGGATTGGGGGGCAACTACATATCAATGGCCCGGAATCACTGGGTCACTTCTGTGCTTCTCTATGCAATGCAGGCAGATCATAGCTGGTGGGAGGGGCCGGGGGGGGGGCTGTACATAGCTTCCTGAAAACATAGCACCTTGCCTCAGTACTGCTCTCAAGACCCCCTCAGGCCCAATGCACGCAGTGGGCAGGCTCTTGGGAGGAGTTATGCAAATATCAAAATGCCTTGGTGGCTGTACAACCCATCCAGCACATCAAAGCACAACATAGAAAACGCAGGTTGACGCATGACAACACATCTGTCTCAAATGGGAACTTTAAGGGAAGAAAACAGCCTCCAGCTAACATCAGCAGTGTATTTGCGTCTGTGGTCACAGCATTTGGACATCAGCGGCTGACGCGTCCTCTGCAGTACTCACCTGGCTTTGGCGCGGCGCTCAATCCTCTCTCCCGCAGGCAGCTCAGCGCGATCTCCTGCAGCCGGAACCTCTCCAGCTCGGACAGGCTCTGCAGATGGACTTCTGGAAGGCACATGGCGGACCTCAGCATCCTGAGCGGGGAGCAGATGAGAGAGAAAACCAGAGATAAGAGCCGGGGAAGTGACAGAAAGTGACACCACCAGCGCGTCAACCATCAGCGCTTCCAGACGTCCCGGACACACAGCCCGCGATGTGCCTTACCGTCTCCGCTCCCCGTCCTCCATGTCTGTCCTCGGAATCATTGAGGGGTCGGAGGGATCATTGAGGGGTCGGAGGGATCATTGAGGGGTCGGAAGGATAATTATGGATCATTGAGGGGTTGGAAGGATCATTGAGGAATTGGATGGACCATTGCGGGGTCAGAGGGATCATTGAGGGGTGAAGGGATCATTGAGGGGTGAAGGGATCATTGAGGATCATTGAGGGGTCGGAAGGATCATTGAGGGGTCGGAGGGATCATTGAGGGGTCGGAAGTATTATTGAGGGATCGGAAGGATAATTATGGATCATTGAGGGGTTGGAAGGATCATTGAGGAATTGGTAGGATCATTGCGGGGTCGGAGGGACCATTGCGGGGTCGGAGGGACCATTGCGGGGTCGGAGGGATCATTGAGGGATAATAGTGATTATGGAGGGATTGACCCGGCTTCCTGATACCGGAAGTTCCAGTATCGGGATAGGCATCGGGAGCATTTGGCCGAGTGCGAGTCTGAGTACTCGGTGTTAGTGCGTCCCGAATAAATATTTAATGTTTCTTCACCTTTTGATCACATATACAATATTGCCGATTTATCGATACAAAGTATCCAACTTTATTGATATCCAGAGACAGAAAGCAGCGACATTCATTCATATTGAACACGATGGACGCAGTGCGCTTGTCTGATGTTCTCATTCTTGGATCCGATCCCTCAGCCACCGTCATTATAGAATTACTTCCCGATCCCTCCACGGCGGTGACTCAGATTCTTCAGAGATTCCGGAGAAAATAATCTCACAGATCCGGATTTTGATTTCCCTTTTATTTATTCGGAGGGGGAGGAGCCTCCTTACAACGCCGATAAGAGCAATACTTTGGACGCAACTTTTTATCTGAAAATCCATTAGAACAATTCCGACATTTCCCCGAATTCTCCAGAGATTTCTCTTTTTTATTCATTATTCATAGTTGTCTTTTATATGAAAAATACTGCTGCTCTCTCTCCTTGTGCAGGGTGACTGGTCTTGTCTCCGCCCCCTCCTGTAATAAAGACCGCTCACTGCTGCTCTCTCTCCTTGTGCAGGGTGACTGGTCTTGTCTCCGCCCCCTCCTGTAATAAAGACCGCTCACTGCTGCGCTCTCTCCTTGTGCAGGGTGACTGGTCTTGTCTCCGCCCCCTCCGGTAATAAAGACCGCTCAATGCTGCGCTTTCTCCTTGTGCAGGGTGACTGGTCTTGTCTCCGCCCCCTCCTGTAATAAAGACCGCTCACTGCTACTCTCTCTCCTTGTGCAGGGTGACTGGTCTTGTCTCCGCCCCCTCCTGTAATAAAGACCGCTCACTGCTGCGCTCTCTCCTTGTGCAGGGTGACTGGTCTTGTCTCCGCCCCTCCTGTAATAAAGACCGCTCAATGCTGCGCTTTCTCCTTGTGCAGGGTGACTGGTCTTGTCTCCGCCCCCTCCTGTAATAAAGACCGCTCACTGCTACTCTCTCTCCTTGTGCAGGGTGACTGGTTTTGTCTCCGCCCCCTCCTGTAATAAAGACCTTCACCACTGCTGTTCTCTCTCCTTGTGCAGGGTGACAGGTCTTGTCTCCGCCCCCTTCCTGTTTTTCCCAAACTTTAACATAATATATATATCATATTCAGATCCCTTATAAAATATTTAGACTACATAATGTACATTTAATTCTGCCCCTGCGGGCTGTGGGGAGGGTTTCCGTTAGCACAGATGCCAGGCGTGGGATGACAATGTATCACAGTGATGGAGATGGGGAAGTGTCACCGCCGCGGCTGACTGCGTAGGAGGCAATTAAAGCCACAATGAAGCAGCGAAATATATTCCGGGGGCATCAAAACAAAACGCATGCAATGTCTAACGGAACGCAGCCACAGCCTGAGTGGAAAGGCCCGCCCTCTGCCAGCCGCTGCAGAGGAGGAGCCTTGCTCCCTGAGTCAGAGCTGAACCTTTCCAATTAACAGGCAGCATGAGCTTCGCTTTTTGACAAGCGGCAGTTCTGACACCGCAGCAGTGGGTCGGACCTCTGCAGAGAGAACACTGCTTCCCCTCAGAGAGCAGCAATCCTTCTCTGCAGCACGCTGGCAGGGCACAGGCTTTTCCACTCAGGCTGTGGCTGCTTTTCATAGAGAACCAACTGTGACAACTGTATACATTGCGCGCACACGAAAGAAAGAAAGAAAAAAGTCAACATTTGTTTTTCCCGCAGAGATGACCCGGTCCAGGTCGCTTCTGCCTGGCATGTTGGGTCAGGTGCCCATTCAGATTCCTGACATACCTGAAGTTTTAGCGTGGCCAGCTGGCGGCGCCATCATGGCGGTGTTTGCCCCATGCCTGGACCGGGGCCCCCGAGCGGTTCAACATGCCACAAAGGTGGTTTTGTATTATTATTAGCGGTAATGGCGTTTATTATGCTAAGGCGCTGCGTATAATACACAATTGCCTTTTTTTCTGTAAATAAAAATTTTGCTTTTATCCATTGGTTGCATCTCAGCGCTGCTGATCTCCTGCAGCCTCTTTCCAGCCACTTCCTGTCTACATGACCCCCCCCCCCCAGCGACTGCTGTCATTGCATTTCTCAGGGCGGGTTTTCCTAATGGCGATAACAGTGGGCCGTGTCTGTGTGTATTTGTGCTGAACCGGATGCTTGTAGTCTCCATGGGAGAGGGTGACAATGTAGGAGGACCATTGGAAGATGGGGACAGAGCGTTGTCACACCGGTAACAGGAAGTGCCTGAAGAAGGATCTTCATGGCAGGATCACCAGGGATTATTTTTAGGCTGCAGGAACGGGTTTTTTTCAATGGTAGATCAGGAGACAAGTTCTCTTTACTGGCAGATATGGGGACAGGTTCTCTTTATTGGAAAAATGGGGGCATGTTTTCTTTATTGGAAGAAATGGGGACAGGTTCTCTTTATTGGTAGAAATGGGGACAGGTTATCTTTATTGGAAGAAATGGGGACAGGTTCTCTTTATTGGAAGAAATGGGGACAGGTTCTCTTTATTGGAAGAAATAGGGGCAGGTTCTCTTTATTGGAAGATATGGGGACAGGTTCTCTTTATTGGGAGAAATGGGGACAGGTTCTCTTTATTGGAAGAAATGGGGACAGGTTCTCTTTATTGGGAGAAATTGGGACAGGTTCTCTTTATTGGAAGAAATGGGGACAGGTTCTCTTTAATGGAAGAAATGGGGACACGTTCTCTTTAATGGTAGGCGCTGTTACAGGTTCTCTTGCCGTGTGGCTCCTCCCACACCTTATAAACACATGTCAGTATCTCCCTTCTGTGCACGCTAAGAACTGAGCACACGTGATCTCTGCTCGCTTCCCTCACTGGCCGGCAGTTGGTGACTGGCAGATGCCGCATCCATCCTGATCCCACCCATTCCCTTTTCGCGCTACGGCCCCGCCCTCTATCTACCTGCTCTCCATAGTGGAGCGGAAGCTAGAAGTGAGCGCTTGGTCACATGTCTATCACGTCATCACTGTGCTGCCATAACACAGAGCGGTGCAGTTTCGGCGTCCGAAATGAAGTAAGTGACCCGCAGCAACCTGCTAAGTGTCTGACTGTACACAGCCGGTCATCCGTATATATACACACTGGTCGCTTCGGTCTTCACGAATATTCAGTGTTCAGTTATAACTTCACAGACTTGGGTAGACATTATGATACCTGCCCCCCATATTTGTGTTTTTGTCTCTTCTGCATGGGCCACAGCAGGGATTGCCACAATCGCTGCCTGACTCTTGGCAACCAATCAGCTTCTCTGTTTCATTTTCAAGGCTTAACTCAACACTCTAAAGAGTGAAGCTGATTGGTTGCCATAGGCAACTGCCCCAGATTCTGTCTCCTCCTGGTTCCCATGAATTCGATGACTCAATGAAACAACCCCTGTCACTCGTCAGGTGACCTCTAACCCCTTGGCTTATTTTTAATGCGTTAGTTAACCAAGTTTTCTCCTGTTTTGCAGTCCGTTAACCAAAGTGAAGTTAATTAACGAGCTGAATGAACGCGAGGCCCGGCTCGGTGTGAAGGAAGGCGTGTCCTGGCATCAGGACTACAAGGACAGCGCCTGGATATTCATGGGTGAGTCACATGACTGTATGGGACGAAACATTTATTTGCTCTTTATAGATTTAAAGTGCGTGTTCTGGTTCAACGTTTGGTTTTGAGTGGAGGGCAGATTTAGGACCCCCGTCAGGTTAATATTGCTATATGGGGGCTCCTTTAGAGAGATTTCCCCTTACTTCCTGTCCTGCGTGAGGGGAAATCTCTCTAACGGAGCCCCTATATAGCAATAAAAACCTGATGAGGGTTCTAATTCCTTCCCCCCTCCCCTCCTCCATTCAAAACTAAATCTTTTGGTTGTCATGGTTTTACTAGACAGGAAGTGAGGGCTTATGATGATACATTTCCCATTGGGCCATCGGTGGGTGGTCCTTACTGATTTCGAGGCGGGCCCTGGGCGGGAGCCATGTGTAATTTGGGGGGTCCCACCTGGAGACTGGGCAGGTGCAATGCAGATTGTGGGCGTGGTTATCATTGTGTACATTTGTTAACGAGCTGTCAGTCTGATTCTGTGTATGACCTCTGCTTTTTTTTTTTTCTCCCTGTAGGGGGGCTGCCTTACGAGTTGACTGAAGGCGACATCATTTGCGTCTTTTCACAGTAAGTTTCCTCCATTTTTTTCCCGCTATATTTCTTCTTCCCCAGCAACTAAATCTATGGGACTATAATGGTCTGAAATGCTGATTCCTGCTGGTGGGTGGAGTCAGGGGGAGCCAGAGTAACGGCCACTGCAGCAGTGATTGACAGCTGACCCCCTGCCTATGTAAGCTGATCCTACCAGAAAATGGTTATCTGATGGCTTGCGTCATTTTCTTTTACCAGCTTATCTGCATGCAAGCTTACTACTGGTCAGCTCCACCCCCTTGAGCCACAGAACCGCTTCCTAGAGGGAAACCAACCCCCACCACCCACAGGAAGTGTTCCAAAGACTAATAAAAGACACCAGGAAGGGAACCTGCGCTTACACTCCTCCAGCTGGTCAGTTCCCTCAATCCATGGAGGCTCGGCATCCCATGTGGGCGTTACCTAAGACAGTCTGCATGCAAATACATCCTGCCTAGGCCCACCCACTCCTCCAGATTGACACCCACCCATCAAGGCATTTTTAGATTTAAATAACTCCTCCCAAGAGCCAGCCCACTGCTTGCATCAGGACTTCATTGGATTTCAGTTCTTGCAAGCACGGAGGCTCAGCACCACATGTTGGCGTTACCTAGGGCGGTCTGCATGCAAATTCAGCCTGCCTAGGAACGCCCACTGCTCCAGACCGATATCAATATTTACATAGCTCCTCCCAAGAGCCGGCCCACTGCTTGCATCAGGACTTCATTGGATTTCAGTTCTTGCCATCATGGAGGCTCAGCATCATATGTGGGTGTTACTTATGGTGGTCTGCATGCAAATACAGCCTGCCAAGGAACGCCCCCCTGCTCCAGACCGACATCAATATTTGATATTTGCATAGCTCCTCCCAAGAGCCCGTCCACCGTGCACAGAACTTTATTGGTTCTCAGTTCTTGCAAGCATGGAGGCTCAGCATCATATGTGGGCGTTACCTAGGGTGGTCTGCATGCAAAAACACCCACTCCTCCAGAACGACCACAATATTTGCATAGCTCCTCCCAAGCGCCAGCCCACTGCTTGCATCAGGGCTCATGAGTGGAGTACTGAGGCAGGGTGCTGTGATGTTTTCCTGGCCCCTCCCACCAGCCATCTGCCTGCATTGCATAGAGACCTGGTGGTGACATCACCGGGGGTAGAATAAGGTAAGTAATGATTTCAATGATGATGGGGAGGGGGACATTTTATCAAGTCAGACAGTTCACATGCATCTCATGTGTGTATGCCTGTCTGCTGGAGTTTTGGTTTCACATCCCTTCCTGACTTCCTGTGTCATCGCTCCATCTTGTAGATACGGCGAGGTGGTAAATATTAACTTGGTGCGCGACAAACAAAGCGGGCGCTCTCGCGGATTCTGCTTCTTGTGTTATGAGGATCAGAGGAGTACAGTGCTGGCTGTGGATAATCTGAATGGCATCAAGGTGAGTTTCGGAAAACACTCCTTACAGCGTTTCCGGTCCAAGTAACAATGGTGGTGCTCGTAGTGACAATCACGGATGGCGCCGTGCACAGCAAACAATGACAAATATATATTTCACTGGCATCAAGGTGAGACGCCGACCAATCTGACTGGTGTTGGCGGAGGGTCTGGTGAGTGTGACGGCGATAGACTGATGGTCACGGAAACCAGATTTGACGTATATATGAAAAAGTTTGTTCTCCTTTAAAGGAGGATTATGAGGAGAGTGAAATACATTCATCCCCATATATGGAGCTCATGGAGACACTGCAGCTGTCACAGGTCGGCTCTATAGATCAGGAACTAAGTGATCACTTACCGCTGATCGCTCAGTTCCTGACCTCCCTACTGAGAGCAGTGACTGTTACCGCTCCCCGCAGGGATTTCCCCCCCTCTCCATTCCTCTAGTGGTGAATGGTGGGACAGACAGGAGAGGGGGCGGGGACAGCCGGCTTTGTCAATCAGTATTGACGGCTCTGCGCTGTCAGCATGTAGCGGGCAATAGCCCCCCCCCCCCCCCCACACACTGGGTGTTGGGAGGTGCGAAAACCCGCCCCCCCCCCCCCCCATATGCTGAGTTTTGGGTCACAGGAGGACATTATTAAACTTCCTACTGAGACCCTAAAGAGAACTATGGCCAGACAAAGGTTGGAATTTTAACCTGTTTAAACTTGTTGTTTGCTTTCCGCGTAGCTGAAAGGACGAACAGTTCGCGTTGACCACGTGTCAAATTACCGCGCGCCTAAAGACGCCGATGACATCGACGAAGTGACCAAAACACTTAGAGAGAAAGGCTGCGCCGCGCAAACTCCCCCCCACTCGTCTTCCGAAGAAGAGCCGGGGGAGCCGCAAAAGATAAAGAAACGTAAGTGCCTCCTCCTCTGTCCCAAATTACATCGGGTTCAGTTTTTTTTTTACCCCACAATTGGGCTCTTCCAGTCTTGTGGTCACAGTTTGGTGAAGGCCCTTTACTGTTCCACCATGACTGTCCCCTGTGCACAAAGCCAGCTCCATAGGAGAACTACGAAGCGAGTGATTTTCACTCAGCCTCATAATCTGAGCGAACACATACCCTCGCTCACTTCTCGATCCTGTCCCTGCAGAGAGTCGGGGCTCCCTGCAGGGATTCCCACCTCCCCTGTCCGATCCTCCAACGCTGACTGGCGGAAGGGGCGGGGGAGGGGGCGGGCACTGCTGGCGCTGGCTCTGGATAGGCAGAGCCAGCTTTCACTCACGCAGCTGGGTGGATCCAGACAGTATTGTCGGGATCTGTCCCGGCTGCGGCGTCTCAGTACAGCTCGCGGTATACTGAACTTTGGGTGACGGGAGGAAGTCTACTTTGTGTTCTCCTGTGACCCTTAGGAGAACTATGGGGAAAAGCCCTGACCCCATAGTTCTCCTTTAAGACATGGTTTGGCCAGCTTGGTGTGGAGGAACTTGAGTGTCCTGCACAGAGTCCTGACCTCAACCCTACTGAACACCGTTGGGATGAATTAGATGATTGTGAGTCAGGTCTTCTCATCCAACATCAGTACCTGACCTCACAAATGGGACAAATTCCCACAGACACCCTCCAAAATCTTGTTGAAGCCTTCCCAGAAGAGTGGCGGATGTTATTCTGGATGCACCGATTTTTCGGTATCGAGTACTGATTTTTTTCCGGTACTCAGGTGCCCAGATTATCAGGAAGTCAGGTGGCGGATTATGACCCGTCGCCCGGCTTCCTGATTGCCTGGGAAGCCGGTGTTCTAGTGCAAGAACACCAGCTTCACATGCCGAGGCTGCCAGGCTTCCTGACCAATCAGGAAGCCGGGAGGCGAGTCATGACGTGCTACCCGACTTCCTGATTGGTAAGGAAGCCAGGCTGCTTGCCAACAAGTGCAGCTGGCTTCCTAGCCAATCGGGAAGCCAGGCGCCACGTAATGACCCGCCTCCCAGCTTCCTGATAGGCTAGGATCCCGGCTTCCCTTGTTCTAGGCAGCCTCGCTTCCTGACCAATCAGTAGACTGTGAGGCAGGTCATAACGTGCCACCAGGCTTCCTGATTGGTTAAGAAGCCAGGCTGCCTAGCAACAAGTAAAGCCGGCTTCCTAGCCAATCAGGGAGACGGGTCATAAACCACAGTCTGGCTTCCTGATTGGAAAGGAAGCCGGCTCCATGCTCCCTCGGCACTAGCGGGCAGAAGTTCCTGTGTCCCTCAATGAACTCCCAAGAAAATGGAAAAATTGTATCATACTTATCCATAATTTTTCCTTTCCTCGCGCCAGTCCATAGCAGCACATGTGCCAGTATGCCGCCTTCTTGGCACCGTGAAAATTATATCAAACTTACCCATAACTTTCCCTTTCCTGGTGCTAATTCAAGGCAGCATATTGGCACATGTGTGCGCCAGGAAAATGATTTTATGGTGAGTACAAACATCCTATTTCTGTGTGCCATGTTCCAGTTTGAAGGGCACGGGGGGAACTAGACTATAAGCCGGGCGGGTGTTTAAACTCTGGCCCCTTGGCTATGGTGAAACTACAAATCCCATGATGCATCTGTCTCTGGGAGTTGTCTGTGCCTGTGAGAATCTTGCAATGCCTCATGGGATTTGTAGTTCCACAACAGCTGGAGGGCCGGCGTTTGCCCGTCCCTGCCATAAGCAGGCCTAATGGGTTTCAACTAGGGATATACCGATACTAGTATCGATATCGGTGCCGATTCCGAGTATTTGGGCGAGTACTCACCCAAATGCTCTGATGCCTAGCACAAGTACTTCCGGTATCAGGAAGCCGGGCAGCGCGTCATTATTACGCGATGCCCGGTTTCCCGATTGGCCGGGAAGCGGCTCCATGCTCTCTCGTCACTTGTGATGAGCCGGCCTCATCAGCCAATGGAGCCGGCCTCCCAGCCAATCAGAAAGCAGGGCATCGGGTCATTACACAGCGCCCGGCTTCCTGATAGAACGGCTCCGGCTGGGTACCAGAGGAAGGCCGCATTCTCGCTAGAGAGGCCCCGGGGGTGACAGGCTGGACATACTAATACAACTGAATGGGACTTCCGTTACTCGGTAATTGGTATCGGCAAGTACCGAAAAAAAATGATCAGTACTCGTACTAAAATACCGGTATCGGTGCATCCCTAGTTTTAACTCTACTCTGTTGCTTATAAGATTCCAGTACTACATTGTCCCTAGATCCAGAAGATCCCCGGACTGGCTTTTTAAGGTTTACATAGAAACCTACCGAGGAAATAAGGTGAGTGCAGTGGAGGATTTATACTAATCGCGTGAATTTGTCGTAACAGATAAAAAGAAAAAACGCAAAAAGGAAAGCCGCGACTCCTCCAGCGAAAGAAGCGCCAGAATCGCCGAGACCATCAAGGAGGAGCGCGCCGACCCGGGCTATGAGAAATACAACAATAAGCCGAGCACGTCCAGGCAGGACAGAGATCAGAGGAAGGCTTCCGATAAAGAGAGAAGTTCAGGAAGCGCGGCGAAACAACCGTCGCACGACCGACACAAGGCGGAGGAAAAACGTCACGCGTCAGAGAGCAAACATCGAGACCACGAGGAGAAACGGGCAAAGGAACCGAAGAGGAAAGATAGATGATCAATGTGCGGCTCAGGACGCAGCCGCAGGGATTTTGGTTGGAGAGATCAAAGTGTAAGCAGCAAGGCCTGATGGGTAAACGCTGCCATTGTTCCGTAGAAGTTACCTGATGTGTTGTATATATTGGACAAAATATCGCTGGACCGTCGCTCTGTAATCAAATACATTTTTATGGAAAGGTTTTACGTAAATAAAGGAGAATGTTCAATTTTCAGATGGTGGAGCTGAAACGTCAAGGTGGTTGATGATCTTCAAACCCAGAAAATTAATAGTTATCTAGAGGGAGAGAGAGAAGGGGGAGAGGGGGGGTGAGAGAGAAG